GTCGGCCAGTTGGACACTGGGGCTGGGAGCAGTGCCTCGAGGCCTCATGCAGGGGGACACGGACCTCTGGGGCAGGGGTCGCCAGGAGGGATGGGCACGTAGGTACCTCAACTTGGCGATGGCATCCATGGCCTTGTCCCGCACTCCTGTGAGCAGCTCGTCCCTGGGTTCCTCGTCCCTGCGATTAGTAACAACAACCTCTGCTCTCAGCTGGGGCTTAGCCAACATGTACAGCAGCGATCCAGACACGAAACCCGGCGTATCCCTGCATCCCAGGTGCCACACACACTGTACCTTCTGCCATCGCCTCCTGACCATGAGCTGTGTTCCAGGCTCCTCCATCTCACCGCAGCGCAGACAGCTGCACTCTGGCTCAGGGCTGGCTGGGGAAGTTCTCTGGACTGCTCTGGGCTTTAGTTTTGCCTCGGGCTTGGTACGAGCACCAGGCTTCATCCCTGTGGCTTGGCCTCCAGCAGAAGGTGAGCAAGTGGCAGGTTTCCAAGTGGATGGATGGAACTGAGCTTGTACACCTACCAGACATGAAAAACCACCCACAGGAAAAGCCCAGAGAAACTGTGCATAAGAGCAGCAGAAAGAAACATCAAGGCTGGTTACTGTTTACCATGCGGGATTTGGAATTTTGGAGACTGGAGCTCCCAACAGGCTTGGCTCTTTGAATGGAAACATCCTTTAGCTTCTGATCCTGACAGAAACACTGCAGACTGCCCCCATCTCTACCCTGCAGTTGCCAGAAGCGTTTGCTTGTCCATGTCCAGTTCTCTCCCATGCTTACAAAGTTCCTTGCCGAACCGCCACCATCTCCTCCACTGGAACCACCCTGCAACTGCACGCAAGCACATATGGCAGCGGCAGCAGTTCCCTCCTGTCCTCCTACAGGGGGTTTGAAAAAAAAAAAAAAAAGCAAACCACAGACAGGACACCACCAATGGACACAATACACCAGTGCAAATCACGAAGCTGAGTTCTACTTTCACGAAGCAGTAACAGTGTCCTGACTGACAGCCATAACCTTCATGTACCAGCATGGCATACAAGGAACAGGGCTGTGGTTCTTCAGCTGCTTCAGGCATGTATGCACCAAGGTCCAAATGTTCCGGATAGTCCACAACCTAAGGAGAGACCCAGAAAACTCCAAAATTATCCCAAGAGTCTAGGAAGTAGCCTGAGAAAACCATGTCATGCAGGTTAGAGGTATAGAAAGAGATCTTCTGGTTCATCAGAAACAGCTGTTGCCATTCCATTACTTCAGTGGCAGAAAACTGTTCCTGGACAAACAAGCTCTTTACAAGTACAGCAGAGTGCTTCTCCCCACTTTGGAAGTTCCCTCTTACAAAAAGGAAAAGAGCTATTGCATTGCTTTTTCTTAGGCAGCTGCCCTCAATAGCCATCATGTGCAGACATGAACAACTTACAAAAAGGATTCTCTTTTGGGAAGGGTCTCCTTGCAAGCAGACCAAGTGGCAGTGCACTTGTATACTGACCTTGCTAATCGTTCTGTGAGACAAAGCATCAAATCTCTTCAAGTGCACTGTCAGGACATGGGAGGAGTGATGTAAGCCTCTTGGACGCAGTGGCCAGCTGTCCGCACCTTGAGAACAAGCAGAGACCCAACAGTTGCAGCCAGCCTTCTCCCTGCTCTGCCCTTCATCCACGTGGGGTTGAGTTAAGGCTTGTTTTGCCCAGCTGTCGTGTGCACGCGTTTGCATTTCAGAGCCCTTCAGTCCCTGCACTGTCACTGAAGGTGGCTTCGGTCTGGGGTGGTCACTGTGGAGAGAAGCAGCCTGCAGTCTTGACACCACAAGAACTGGTCAGGACACTGTTCAGAGAGCCAGCAGGGCCTGCTGCTGCCCTGAGGACTGACATCTCCTGGATGGAGATGCAAGCATCCAAAAAGCCTTAGAAATGAAACTTGATTGCTTTCTCAAGGAAGCTGCTGTTGCCAAAGGCGTTCAGAGCTCCTCTCGGCTTGGCTCACCACTGCCTATGGGCCGTGTCTTTTCCCTTCTGGCCATAGTGGGGGCAAGGCAAATGATTGATATTGAACCAACCAATCAATCTTCGAGGCCTGGAGAGGGGCTGGAACTTGATGATCCTTAAGGTCCTTTCCAACCCAAACCATTCTGTGATTCTATGACTGCTAAATCCAGGACGAGGCTGCTCTATAATCTTTCACTTTCTCCTTCCACATGCCCTGAAAATAAATTTATTTGTATAATATCTATTTTTTATCAGGATAGACCATACATTTAAAATTAGTTCTAAATAATTACTTTAGCAATTATTTATCAGATGCTCAGGCATACAGGGAAAGATGTAGCGATTACATGGACATACACAGAATCATCTCTCCTGGGAAGGTAAGACCCAACACAGAAGTCATTCCAAACATTAAATTATTGCTTGTCTAATTTGAAAAAGTGTCAAGGCTTATAAGTGACTACAAAAAAAATTTTTTTAAACAAAAAAGTGAAGATTTTGAATACAGATTCATTCAATTTAAAGGTGTATGCTAAGTCTGTAATAATAGTTTTCTTTACATTATTGACTGTTCTTTCCTCTTCAGTATGTTAGAGGGGCTGTTGACTTTCCTAATTTATAGCTTAAAAGAAGTCCTACTAGCAGCAACTTACCTTCAAAGAACTTAAATTCAAATTAAAAAGTTGCATTTATAATGAAAACTGAGCATATTCTATGAAATATTCAAAATTCTTTATTTCAAGCCAGTATAATATTGTTACAGGCATCCATTTCTTCCTCTGCACTTGCACATGATTGAAGTTGGCACTCCCAACCACCAAAAAAGTTAAATTATTATTACAGTACAGGCACAAAGTAGCCAAACAGCTTTACTTCCATTAAGCAAAGCTGTGATTGTGCTCTAACAGCATTTATTACCAGTGCATAGATTGTTCTCTGCTCCTAAGAGCAAACAAGGGAAATTTCCCCTAACTGAAGAACACGGGTGGCAGCTCTTCTACTAAAGCAGTCATTTCACCAGTGGAAGAACAACAGGTATCTGGACACACTGGACACCTTCCTTCACTGCTCTCAGTTGCACTCGTTCACATGGGCTTGGTCAGAACTGAATTAAACATCCTTGCAGGTCTCCATTACTGCTTTCATTAATATAATCACTATCAGAATTCCACGTTTGAAGAATCAATAGGAATTTTTACTTTTTAAAAAGTAAAATGACAAAAAACCCAGAAGACTGTCAGTATCGCAGTTCCTTCACCTGACACCCTGCTTCATAACCATCATTTAAAATCTTTCCTTTCTAGAAGCATCAATTCCCTTCCATCAAAAAGGCAGCACCAGAGAGGCTTTGTATCACTTAACCATAAATGAACACAACTCATGTATTTACTGCATTTCAAACTTCAAACTTCCAGTTACAGTGGTAAAGTTAACAAGTAGCATATGGAATGAGTATGAGGTACTTACATGTACCAAAGGCAAGTTAGTCACAAACAACTTCTACAAATATAGTACAAACAAAACTAGCAGCAAACACTGCTATCATTACACAGTGCTCTCTCATGGAACGACTGATGGGACGGCCAGCTGGAAAACAAGCTGGTAACGACAGTGTTATAAAAACAGCAAAACAAATATTTGAGCATAGTAACTGTACAAATCAGTGCTGGGAGGAGGGAAGTAAGCATGATTCAGTTAACACAAATTCTACATATACAGAAATGCCTCCAAACCACAAAACGTGTATATTCAGTTTTATATTCATAATCAAGACTTCAGTCCATGCAACTGACTCGGGCAAGCATGTCTGAATAGGCAATGGAACATAATTCCATAGATTTTTCTCTAGAGCATGCAGCCCCATACAATTGGTACCAATGCCAGTCTTCGCTTACATAACACTTTGTAGCAGCAAGGTGTAGTGCAGCTCAGAATGGAGAGAAATGGCAGAAATGCATACACTATGCTTTCATCAGAGGTCAGTTTCAAAATACGCATGAGTACAGTTTGATTGTAGGCACATCTTTGGTTACATTCTCAATATAATCTGCTTTACAAAAAAATAAATAAAACAGTCAAGGCTTGGTGAAAATCCAGGCAAAGATAAAACTTCTTTTTTTTCAGAAACCAAGACAGTAGAAGTCCCTTTAAATTGATGTTTCATTACATCCATAAACGATAAAATCCTAGTGCTACAGTAAGGCATGTAAATACTGAACCTGAAAGAAAAAAATGGGGAGGAAAATGGAGACAAATAAACCATTAGCTCTCACAACATTTCTTCAGAAAGCTATGTACACATCTTACTACAATACTGAAAGTATAACCACGACCCCTTCCCCATATAAGAAAATACGGTTTTTAATTTACAAGACAATTTCAAGGTGGAGGGGCACAAAAATGACAAATAAGAAGAGAATGCAGGAAAACTGGGCTGGAACACTATCAAAGGGCTGAAAGAAATCCCAAGTTGCTCACCATTCCAAAAGAGACTGATATGGCAAGTTACAGTTGCGAAGTAAGGAAATGAATGACTTATTAAATCACAGTCACGTATTCAGCAAGCAAATAAATGAAAGCTTATCAGTTTGCAATTTAACAACGCTTATCAGTTTGTAATTTTTAAAAATTTCTATTTAAATTAAATCAACTTTTGGTTTCTAGGTATACACACACAAAAGTCTTGCCATTGTTTGCAATAGGAGCCCTTCAAACACAACACATTGTTTTTAATTTTTTTTTTCCTCCATGCAGAGTTCAACATGTTTTTGAGTGGGGATGGTGGGGAAAAGAATTTCCTCTCATTTTAATAAATTGCCTTTTATTTTCCAGTAATAGCTTTCTGCAAAGGATATGCCTGAAGTACAGTACTATGAATAGACACAAGTGATTGTACTTGTGACAAAACCTATTGTGAAAGAATAATCAGAAAATCTAAATCAGAAGACTCATTTTCTACTGCAAACCTGCTGATTTAATAGCACTGCACACTCGGTAGAAAAGTGTCAAAATATTGACGTTACCTAGGGCAATAATGTAGGCACACACACATACACAGTATTTTTCTAATGCACATGGCTGAAAAATGAAAGTTTAAAGAATATGTGGCACTCATCCAACCTTAATGATTCTATGATTCAACAGTCAGAAAAGCTGAAATGTTCCATTTTACCTATAGATGTCCATCAGACAGACAAAGAAATCCTAGAAATGCATGCAGCAGGATGCTTTTTATAAATTAAGTCAAGAATCAAAGAATTTTTTGGCCCTGGTTAACAGGCAGTCTTTTAGATTTTGCATACACCTTATTATTACAGTATAAAGCAGGGGAAAAAATCTCATACAGCCACAGCCCATGCAAAATAAAGCTGCGAATTACAGGAAACTGCCTGGGTTAAGTACACAAATAAGGCTGCTAATCTTGATTGAGACTACTTCAAGTATTTTTTTTTCTTTAATCGAGGCCTTTATAAATACAGTAAATAGAGAGTTTGACAAACATTTAATAACGTTTAATAGTTTCACCAGAGACACCCATCACATTCCTTACCTGCCAAGTACTTAATATTATCAAGTTTGTGTGATTCGAGCATTGTTTTTAGATCTGCAACTTCTGTGTCTATTTTTCTGTCTGTTTGGGTCAGAGCTCGATCTTGTTGCGCGTGCTAAAAAACAAAGCAACAAAACTATGTAATGTGAACAGTTGCTAGTTAATTTAGAAATTTAACCCATCCCTTTAAGTTGTATTTTTGGTTCCTCCTTAAATGTATGTTAATTTGCATTCCAAGATAACAAGTTCCTTCCTAGCTTATTATATCCAAGGAATTTAATAGTTTGGTGAATTTGGGAAAGTTAAATGGTGACATGTTCGTTAACATGTAATCTAGAAACTGTCAGAACTGGATGCCTTCTTGTCTCATCTAGCAGCATAAACAGCAATATCAGTGGGCCAAACTACAGATGGAAGTTAAAGTCACTGCTCAGTTGTAAGAGCTACTGAGAAGTCTAAGAGCCTGTTGTGACAAAAACATACCAGGGCATAAAGATTTATGGATCATTAGAAAATTTGAGAATTGGCCTCCTGATGTGAAAAAGCATGGCTTGATCTTGTAATGAATTCTACCACAAAAAGCAGCAACAGAAAAATTCAGAAATGTGCTTCTGACAGAAGGCAGGACTTCAGTAAAAAAAAAAAAAAAAAAAAAAAAAAAAAGGGACGATTACTCAGAAAAGGCTGAAAGATCAAACTTGTAAACTGAGAGCAGCAGTTGCTGAGTTGCTGATATTTTCAAATCAGCACTACTGAAACACTGTGAATCAGTTAATGATTTACTGTTCGATGTCTTCCTAGGGATAATTCCCTATACTACAGAAAATAAACAAATGGAAGAGGAATTGCTTCACAAAAACCTTCTCTAAAATGAAGCCAAATCAGTCTAGCAATGTGTTTCAGTCTCGCTGAACAGGGGGGGAGTGGAGTGGGGTGGAATTAATTTCACCAACTAACATCAAGAGTAAAATTCCATCTACAGAAAATACTACAAACATGAAGTTTCAAAACAAAGTGACCACTGAAAAGTTTATATAGTCATGCAGCAGGTCTAATATTATATACGAGAGCCTTTTTATTCTATAGACACTTCAATTATCTGTACATGAAAATACATAGGGAAATAATAAAGCACAATGACATTTTGTATGTTAAAACACCTAAAGACACGGACACCAGAAAGAATACCAGGTCTATAACAGAAGTACAAAAATATTTGCTGTGTAATAATCAGCTATGAAGCTCTTACCAATTCCACTATTTCTGTCCTCATTTCAAGTAGTTTTCTTTCATTAACAGAGTACTAGAAGGGAAAAAGAAAGAAAAAATATAAACATCATTGTCATTAAACTTTTTCCCCCACACTTAAAAGCATACTTGTTTCCAAATTCTGTAGAACACAACCTGGACAACATCATTGTCTGACAACACTTGGGAAACAGCACTGTAGGATAATTGCTGTCCTTCGGAAAATGTACAATTTAGACAGGTGTTCATCCACACCTCTGAATTACAAAGCACAACAAGTCCATCAGACTCTCAACTTCTGCAAAAACTGTATCTATTAATAAGCAGCTGGAAGAAAGGTTGGCAGATTTGCATCTCACCCATCCCAGAATCCTCAATTCCATATCAATGACCTGATCTGTTGACACTCCCATGTGGAGAGTCGCTTTGTTCTTCCTCCACTCTGGAAGCTTATTCCAGTTTAATATTAAATTCAGATTAATCTACATAAATGCCTCACCATTGAAAAACTCAACGATCTGGAGCTCTGTTTGGACTTTTGACTGATCTAAAGATGAAGTTAAGAGACAGCAGGCTGCTACAAATGTGGACAATGACATAACAAAGACAAATAACAGCCCATCTACAATTAATGATAACAGTCACTAGATTCTGCAAAATGAAGAGAGGGACAAAAAATAAATTCAGACATTATATATAAATATACATTTTTGGAAAGTGGTAAGGTGTCAGAATATTTATAAAAAAATCATTAAAATTATGTTTGAGGTAAAATTTCACATAAGAATTGGACCTCATGTTAACAAGCTGATTATCACTATAAGGAGAACCATGACATTTAAAATAAACTATTTTATGGATTGAAATAGTTAATCTGCTTTACTTAAAATAGATGTTGTTAGCCAAATACACATTTTCTGAATAATTTCTATTCTACAAGCTTCTTTCTTGATGTTTGTGTTTGTTAAAGTTTTGCTTTGTGGCCAGAACTCTCTAGGTCAGACCCAAAGATTTTAAGACAGTGAAATATACCCTTTTACTGCAAGGCATCACCATTTAAGAGGGAAAAAAAAAAAAAAAAAAAAAAAGACAACGTTAAACTTGCCCCCTGAAATTCAAAAAGGAGATTTCCCCTTAAGTCCACATTTTTTGCAGTGCAGAAAAAATTCAGTTTTGTCAGATGCATCTTGAGATTTTTTAACAGCAAGCATAGATGCACTGTGACACACGAACACATGAATGCATGTGGAATTTTGTACCACACTTCCAAGTTTTAAAATCACATCTGTATCACTGCAGCTATAAATCACAGCATAAACAGATGTGCATTCAGCAAGGTAAGATTCTAAAATAAATTTCAAGTGGAATGAACTAATTTAAAGATAAAGCACTTAGAGTTTGAAACATTGAATCAGTGTGGACAAATTAAGAAATTATCCTTCAGTACTTATTCCAAGCAAAACTGAAGGATAAGAATATTTTACTTAGTGCTTCAAGTTAAATCAATTTAAACTCAGGACATTTCTCTTATGAATAGTAACTTATAAGAATGCACAGTAACCTTCAATTACCCCAAGTTTTATTCTCAGAAAGCTAGATATTCAGTCCTAAATCACATTACAATCTAAGCAAATATGATGATGTTCTGTCTGCTACAGAAAATATGGGATTACTTCTCTCCCCCTACTCAGCATATATGCTACAACCTGCTCCCCATTCATCTGCATTTTTCCTTTTCTGTTCATGCATGGCAGAGCCGGCAATTAAAGTGGAAGAGTGGGGGGG